CTTGGGCTGAGGCGCGTGGAGGGCCCGCGGACACGCGTGGCCCAGAAAACACCCTCGGCTGCTGCTGCGTTAACCGGCCTTTAGCCCTGGAGCCTGGCGGGTCCTGCGCACGAAGCAAGGCAGAGGCAGCTGGTGAATAAGAGTAGTCTGGTAACACCGTTAAAGCGATTTTCTGATATGCCGATACCTTTCAACACTTCGATGTTTGATTTTTGCCACAATTAACTTTTTTTATCCTTGCTTGTAAGGGCCCTGTAACAAACGTATTTATCCAGCGTGATCAATTGTAAGCTTAGGGCCATCTCTTTTAATAGGTTGCTTTTTCTTCAGTGCTTCTGGTAGGCTTGCTTCTCTTTCTAGAGATGTTGTCTGCTGGTATCTTGTCTTGTTGTGGGTCTTAAGTTCCTTATGGTTAACATTCCTTCCCCCCCCCGTAAAGTTCATTTTACACTGTAGAAGTTTTAAAAACTCTTACTGAAAGGTTTCCTTCACATGTGTTGTGACCGTGTCTCTGTTTCTTATAACGTGTTTGATGGAAGTAGGGCGCTTAGATCACTTAGAAGATACCTTTGAGAAAGAAAGGTATCATTCTTGTCCCTGACAGGGAAAATGATGTGTTTACCCCACTCTGAGGTGCAGGAGGATATTAAACTCATTAACTCAGGATATTAAAACTCATCCAGTGCCAAAATATCACAGCTAGTGTTTGAGGGGCTGGTGATACGCTAGAGCTGTGATCTCCTGTGACCAGAAGTGAATTCTGTCACTGAAGTGCAGGTGTGGGCTGATTGTTTCATCTGGGACGAATATCTTTGTTTGGGCCACAGCCTTTGTATTGCTCCCAAATAACGAGATGTTGGGTCAACAACCGAGACAAGTTGAGTCAACAACAGTGAGGGAAGAAAACGTCTTTGCACGGTCACGAGTTGTGTGTGGTGTTCTTTGGAAGAGAGGGAGGGTTACTGCCACGTGTAACGTGTTTGTCCAGATAACAGGGTTAGGAACTCAATTTCTCTATCGTTGTTTCACCTTTCTGTCCTCACTTAATAAGTTCTAACTATATTCCCAATAAAAACAGTATGTTGGCTGATGCCTTTTAGTGTAGTGAGTCAAACATAGCCAGTTTGAAGTTTCTTGAATTGGTTAATTCTTGCTTTGTTTACTTCTCTCGACAGATGAAACAGAATTCAGAAATTTTATTGTCTGGCTCGAAGACCAGAAAATCAGACATTACAAGATTGAAGACCGAGGGAATTTGAGAAACATACACAGTGATGACTGGCCCAAATCGTTTGAAAAGGTATTTCGTTGTTTCAAACACTATCTAAAGTTATGAAGATGTTTTATGTAAACGATGATTAATAGTTGCTGTAGTTCTTGAATGTAAATGACTCCGAATATCTATCCTGTCTCTGAACTTTTACATTTCTAGGAATTTAAATATTAATTACACCAAACTGTAGGAGTTACTGAGATGGTAGAATGTCTTGTACAGAATTTTCACTCAGCTGTGGTTTTTGCAATAGGTAGTATCCATCCTAATCTGTTTCTTGTCTGATTTGATTCTACTCTTGAAGTAGAAGGAAAATTGTTTACAAATAAGCAGCTTTTTCTACATTAATGATTCTTACATACCAAAAGGACAATGGGTTAGGCTAACGCACTTGTAGGCTTTGCAAGCGTGTGGGGAAAAAGCTACTGCAGCTCATCTCTGCGTCTCTTGTTATTCCAGATAGATGATTTCCCACCGCTAGCACAAAGCATGGCAAGCAGCCGTCGCTTCGTGAGCGATCTCCTGTGTGCTCATGAGCATTTTGAGTCTCCACAGGGCCGTTGAGCTTTCCCTCTTGGTTCCCATTTCCTTTCTCTCCAGACAGCCCTGTGAGGAGCTGAAGATGCTGCTCCATAATGCTCAGTGCCCATTCATGTCACTTTTTTCCCCCCCCTTAGAACTACTTGCCTTGCTCACTGCCCAGGAGGATTGGAGTTGCAGTGCTCATGCTTTGCAGGGAGGAGCCTAAAGCATTCTGTTACCACATACATCAGTGTATGTGCTATTAGAATTACTGGCTGCTGGGACTGTTGTGGTGTCAGTGGAATCTTTCTTGACTTGGCCAGGCTGTCCTTCTCTGCGTGCCTGCCAGAGTAGAGGCTGCGTGGCACTTCTCTCCCTCCAGCAAAGGGACACAGCAGAACGTCACTATGTCCTGGGCTTTCGGGAGTCTTGGCAGCAGGTTAGGCTTGGTTCTGTGATTTGGCTTCAGAAGAGCAGAGACAGTGTCCCAGCCACATTTTGTCTTCTCTTGTTGTACACGATCCCTAAGAAGGGGAAAATTACTTCTGCTGCCCCTCAGAATCCTCTAAGGCTTTCACAATACTGACATCAGGTAGCTTCATTCCTCCTTCCTGCTTTAGATGGGAAGTTTTTGCTGTAATATGTTCTCTGTCCTTTTCCTTGCCTCCATTTACTGTGTAAAATGAGCAGAGAGCAAAGAAAGGAGTATTTTGGTTTCTCTGGTTGCAGTCTGACAATGAATAACATGCATTAAAAAGCAGGTGCCATTACTAAATGGCAGACTCGGGTTAGTGGTGGATTGGAGCGCTCTAAAATGCCTCAGATGGATCAGATGCCACAGAACACTTCAAAATTATGCTTCTTGTTAATAACTATCTTCTAACAACTGTAAGGTCTGTGGGAAAGCGACTTCTTACAAAACTGTTCTGTGCTCCTAGCTAACTCATACAGGTCAATAACATCTATTTGTTTTCTCCTCTTTCTACTCCTCAGTATATGAAAGACGTAAACTGTCCTTTCAAAATACAAGAGCGACAAGAAACAGTGGACTGGCTGCTCGGCTTAGCGGTTAGGCTCGAGTACGGAGATAATGGTATGAGTGAATTCATTTAATATTTCAAATGCTAAGGAAATGTGGTTTTCTATTTTAATTTTATGGAGTATTTGTCAAATTAAAACAATGTCAAAAGTATGTATTATTTTCTTAAAAAAAAAAAAATCTGCTTAGTTTTGCACCATATTCAGATGTGAACTGTTTCTCTTCAGCTCCCGTGGGACAGTGCAATAGCATACTTGTGTTTATTACTTTATTTCTGGATATAGCGAACCCTGTTGCATATGTTTATACCCTTCTCCCTGTGGGATTGCCTTTATGAGAACTTACTATAAAGTCTATTAAATGTGTTTTCTTTGGTGCTACATTTATTCAAGTAAGTTATATTCTTAGACCCTTGTTTTAGAGGGAGTAGATCCCGAACCCTTGGGAACTAGGGCAAGGTTATGAAGAAGTTGAGTTAAATCTGAACAGTCAGCAGCAGTTTCCTCTCCTAATAGCGAGAGTGCAGCTACAAATGTAATTACTGGTGGCAAACATAATAATAGCTAAAGTACTGTTTTCCATTACCTTTAATTCCTGCAGGGCTGAGCTCTGCACAAGACAGGGATGGGATATAAATACCTGCAATCTATAGAACTGGTTCTCAGTCTCTCATGACAGAGAAAGTGAGCTGCCCGTGATTCAGGGTTACGGGAAAATGGAGGAGGCAGGAGGTCCCATCCTCAAAAGGCTTGAAATTCCCCAGTGTGGGTTGTAGATGAATGCAGCAGTCTATAAAATAAAACCTTCACTGGGAATGCGTTCCTCACTGATCGGAACCAGCTCCAATCTGTAGTTCTTGAGCCCGAAGTACGCTGCCGATTGAGGCAGAGGGCCAATGCTAGTTGAACTGATGGATTTTAAATATGGTAGAACTGTAAGGTGTGGCTTCTTCAGCCTTCTGGGATGAAGACTGAAGGAAGAGCCTTAAGCATGTGCGTAATTCCCTACCTAAGTGTGGAGCACGCTCTGATGCTGCTCTTGGATAGCACTTAAGTTCTCTGCAGATGGGAGCTGTTAGGGAAGCTCGCTAGAATGGCGGCCTTTGGGGACCTTAGTGAGCTTCAGAACATCAGCGTATTAGCCCAGAAGGCTCTTGGGCAAGTACCACACCCCAAAAATACAGCTATAGCAACCTGCAGCTTGGTGTTACACTTTTAACTAGTTGTTTTGTCGTTAGCTCTGATAATGTTCATGTTTGCTTCTTAATTTAACAGCTGATAAATATAAGGATTCTACCCCCGATGGTGCTAAAAATACTGAAAATACAGGAAAAAATGCAGAACCGCTGATTAACTTGGATGGTAAGCGTGCAGCAGCCTCCTGTATGGATGCATTGTATGTATGTGTTCCGTGGCCTCTGTGTTTTCTTCAGATTTGAAGTTGTTGTAATACCATGATACATACAACTTTTTAAAGCTTTAGGAATGCAGGGTTTATATATTCTTTTACTGCTGGCTCAAACTGCCTTTCTGTGAACAGTGTTTCAAGAGTTACTTTGAGTTGTTTGCACTTGCCTGTATTCAGTCTAAAGGAAAGAGGAACTGCTCCATGGGAATCCCAGGTGTCTGCACCGATGCAGAGCTTTTCCTGTCAGGAAGAAGCGGAAGGGCAGAGGGGAGAAATTTTCCCAGCCGAACGAGGTGCCCAGAGAATTGATCAGATAGGAGTAAGTTGGGAGTGCTCGTATCAGGCAGTGGGGAAGCAACTGAAGGGTATTTACCTTAACAGCTTTGCAGAGAGCTCTATAAAACATGAATACTTACTGTGGGTTAGGGTGAAACAGCAACTACAGACTCTAAGATATCTTTTTTAAATTAAAAAAAAAAAAGCTAAGGAGACATGATGGCAGACTGTTTACTTCAGTACTGTCACGTATTACATGTTGGCTCGGTCTTCCCCAGCTGTACCTCTCATAATCATTTTAATTTTTCTCATGGCTAGGCACATTCACAATAAATGGAAGTGGTGGAAAATAGCTACTAAAATTAGCCCATAATCCTCCAAGTCTTCTCCCATTGCTCCTTCTACCAAAAGACACCTAGGGATTGGTCCTGCCGTCACCCAGCAGGCACAGTTCGCTCTACAGTGACAGAAAAATTTATAAAAGAGAATACATTTGTGTAATTGGCTTAATTTTTAAAGCCTTTACACACATTTCCTGTGCGATAGGACATACACAATGCGTTTGGCATTGAAAGCAATGCTGTTTGTGCTTGGATGGCATTCTGCAATCTGGTTTCGAAGCCTAGTGCACACTTTGATGGCTCTGTAGCCAGACGAAGCGGTTGCTCGCTGCTGTGTATCCGTGGCCTTGCCCATCCTTGAGAGCAGCCCAATACCGTGGAGTCAGGAAGCCAAATCTGTCTTTTGGAGCCAGTTAAGCTGGCATATATTTTTAATGATGATTATTTCTTACAGTGAATAATCCTGATTTCAAGGCTGGAGTGATGGCTTTAGCTAATCTGCTTCAAATTCAGCGACATGATGATTACCTGGTAATGCTTAAGGTGAGTTTCAGTTTTCAGATCTCATTTCTTCCTCGTTTTCCTCAGTGGCTGGTATGTGTGTAATAACTTGGGGTGCAGTTACTGATAATTCTGACTACTTAGGCACAAACAGAAAGTAAAACTCATCCTGTATGTGCCATTTCAAGCAGATAAGAACACAGAATATAAATAATGGAAATTAATGCAGGGATAATTATCTTGGTAAACAGTTCAATTGTAGCAGAGTTCCTGGAATTCCACCACTTGAGAACTGTGGTTCAGAATTTGAAGTGCTCTAGATTAGCTGAAGTGCTGATATGATGTGTTTTTAATGAACCTCAGAAATATTGAGGAACACGCTCAAAAGGAGAAGATTGTATTCCAGTGCTAGAAAATAAGAGAAACTTGAAAATGTAGAGGCTAAGTGGTGCAAAGGATGTTTTAAAACACTCAGCCTAGGGAGAAGCCACAGTTAAAAGCTGCCGCCTGCTCCTCTTGGTCCTTTTTGGTTTATTCCTTGTCATTACTGAAGTCAGTTTATTTTAGTGTTGACAACTAATCATGGCTTTTAAATACAGTAAATAGGCTAATTAATTTTCTAAAGCATTTTTTTTATGACTCTGATAAAATCTGTGGCTTAGTGGGGGAACCCATAGTTATCTGTAAATTTTGGGTTGAACCTGACTATTTACTGAGACTGTAGCAATCCTGAGTTCCCACTTGATCATGTCATAATATGGAAATAAGCTTAGTTTTGTTTGGGACCAAAATAAACTCATTTCCCTGAAAAAGCTAATGATGTCCATCCATTACAGAAGCTAACTTTATTTTGGAGAAACTAAATGCCATGGGTATCGAAGCTTATATAGTGTAAGACTATAACAGGTCTACTAAAACAGTATTATCATGCTAGCCTGGTTTCTGAAGGAAATGATGGCCTGCAGTTATCCCATCAACCACTTTCTCACTCTCTCCAGTACGGTATCCTCCTTTGCTTTTCCAAAATAGCCTTGAACTCTTGATCTTTAAAGAGTGCTGGAGATGTTGTATATCAAACTCCTACCAAAAAAACCCCAACCCAAACTCCACAAAAAAACCAGTGGAAAGGGATACCAGGTAAAGAGAGAAGAGACCCTGTGACTGGCAATGTTGAGGTTCTGCAGCACGAGCTCAGCCTGTATTAGAGTTCCTTCAGGTCGTCTTGCAGGATTGTCTCGGGGCTAGAAAATGTCATCTGGGTTCTTCTAATTTGGTACTAACAACTCAAAGAGAAAGCAGAATGTGTTTTCTGCATAAATGTATTTACATTCCTGTTGCTATTTCCACATTTCTAGTCTCACTTTTTTCAGACAGAAGTGGTTGGACAAAACAACCAGCCTGAATTTTCTTGCTTTTAATTACAGTGAGAATAGATTCCTGCCATGGCAATTCATGTCATATGAATGACAGTAATGCTAGTCTTCAGGGTTTGATGGTGTTAGAACGTGGCAGTGAAACTCTTGAATTCTACACCACAGTAAGCAGGTTTGCAGTGTGCATGTGGAGAATTAATGATCCCTGTTCAGGCTTGGACACTCTGGAGTGGATGCTTAGGGAGGGCCAGAGGGTGCAAGTGTGCCACAGACATCTGGCCAGACCTTGGCCAGAGTGAGCAGACAGATATTTGGAGTCCCATTTTATTAATTTAAATCTGGCAAGTTGATCAGAAAGCATCTGTGTGATACAGTTGGATATCCTTTTTCTAATGCAAAAGGCACTCACAATTCTCTTTTACAGGGTTTGGTTTCACTGCTGGAATTTAAAATCTTCATCAAATCACTCTTTTGTACAGGCTACTTCCTTCAGTTAGAAAGATTTCTAGATGTATTCAGTGGCAACTTTCTAGTATCGCCTCTCAACTTTAATCCTCAGCAAAACTGGGAGAAATCTTGGGGGAGAAACACGAAGCAGTAAGACTTGTTCTGTCACATTTGGCTACTCATCAGGGAAAGTCTAAGGAATGCGTTTGACAGACCCGGTTCTTTCTGGTGGAAGTCTGCCTGCGTGGTATTCCTTCAGTTATTTTTAGAGGCATTTACAGCTGTAGGTATCAGTAACTGATAGTTCTGATATGATTTCATGCTATGTACTGGAGCCAGTAAAAACAGATGAGCAGCAGGATTGCTAAAATCAAGGCTGTTCTTGTTCCTGTGTCTAGAAATAATTCCTTCCTGCTCTCAGTCTTTTTAAAACCCAGGTGGGTAGCCCTGCCCCAGGTTTCTCTGCATGTGGAAGATGGTTCAGCACCTAGTAAAAGATGCCAATAGCAGCAGTTCCTTCCTGAAGAAGCTGTATTGCTGCAGCATTAAAGGTGTGCGGTCTTGGAAAAATAAAAACGGTGCTGCTGCTTTGGGATTGCAATGGCCTCGTTCTGGGAATTGCAAGTTTTCTTGGCTGTTCCTAGTACTTTGCAGTTTCTGGCCCAGTAGTGGCCAAAATTAAGAGCATAATGTCCTTCCCTCTTCTGGTTAAGCTGCCTTCCCACAGTTGCAGTTGACTACACCTGTGTAGGACACTACTTGCAAAGAATGGCGCTTTCTGAAAAGGTTTAAGGTCTGAAAGAGTTTTCCAAAATGTCTTTCACAAAACTGTGGGTTTGAGGTTATGCTAGGTTATAACACTGGCTCCCTTTCCCTTGGAATTGCCGAGAAATGCATCAAGACATTAATTAATTACTCTCGCCTTTAAATGTTTTTCCTAGGCAATTCGCATTTTGGTTCAAGAGCGCTTGACGCAGGATGCCATCGCAAAGGCCAGTCAGTCCAAGGAGGTTTGTATATACACCGCGTGAGTCTAGCGTTAATTATTCCTTACTGAGTAAAAGAAGCGTAGGCGTAAACATCTGCCATCTCAGTCAAAACCAGTTCTGTTTAAATACTTGAGAGGGTGGTGGAAACTTGCTTTATCTTCACCATCCTGATTCTGAAAGACCCAGAGGATTATGGAGAGTATACAAAGCTCTTTTTGGTTCGGTTGAATACGAACGTATGTACCTGTATCGCGTAAATTGCTGTTCTCCTATCTTCGTGTTTGCTAGAGGATTACCCTTGCTGTTCAGTGCAGACCTGCAGTATGAGAAGAAATGTATGACCTGGCTTTTCCTCAGAATCGGCAGTGTTGGCTGCATAAACAGGTTGAAACGTTGCTTGTATGGAGTGTTTTGCTTTGTACATACACCTTGTATGTGTTGAAGGAATGGGATGTTGGACATCCAACTCCTCTCCCCCTCCTTCCCCAAAAAGAAATGACGAAGGCAACTTCTGCACTTGAACCTCAGATTTTGCAGAATTATTTTCTAACCTCAAGCTATCTGTTTGTAAGAAGTTCCGGGGGATGACTATGGCTTTTCAGATCATCATTTCTTAAACTTCCCAGTTCTCCAGCTCTTCTCTCTGGCCTTTGGTGCAGCAGCAGCTGGCTTTGGCTCTTAGGCACAGCCCAGGAAGGCAGCCGCTCCTGCCCCGCAGGTATATGTTTAGATGTGTCCCCGCTAAAGCGACTGGATCTGGTCAAAGAGCAAAAGTCCCTTCATCTTTTTCTGGCGGCTTCTCAGAACAGTCCATGCTTTATTTATTATCATAACACTGCTTCTAGTGTTTACTAAGTGGCAATCACAGGTGCCAGAAGTGTTGGAACAGTAAATCAAAGCTTTGGTCTTGTATATCCATAAAACTGTTAAAAGAGCAGGAAAATAGGAAAGCAGCTGAGACTGCTGTAGTCATTTTAGGTTCTGTAACTAATGTTAATAAAAAGCTGCTTTTAGTTGTTGTTTACATAGCTGCACACCTGACAGGGATCAAAATGGGGTTTTCTGTGTGTTTGGCAGACCTAGCTTCTTTGAGGAACAGTGAATATTTTCATGACAAAGAATTGTTTATATTCGATAGGTCCTCGAAGCGTGGTCAGGACTGAAGTTGAAATGTCACTAACTGTGATATATGTCACTGGGAGTGTATTCTCATTAGGAATGCTAAATTTCAAGCAGGGTAGAGAAAAAGCAGGGGGTTGGAGGCAGGAAAACACCTTTATCTGTGCCAGCAGCGATCATCAACAAGATGCAGTGGGGAAAAGATAACAGATACAGAAATGTTATCTGACTGTGGGATACGTATGAGGACTATGCTGAGGAAACTTATACCGCTGCGCTTGTGGTTTAGACATACCAAATAAAATGAGATTTATGTTGTTGGGCTGTCAAGGTACAGTTTTTGAGATAAGACATGTTACTTTTTTTTTTTTTAGACTTTGTGTTGAATGGCTGGCGATTCAATGTACTCGGTGTCTAGACAGGATTCAGATTTATACTGACAGACTCGTAGCCTGTCCTTCTGGGCTTTCCTTGCCTGATGAGCGTATCCTAGGTAGGATCAAGTACAACAAACGCCCTTCAGGATCACTTTAAGGATGATCCCGAAAGCTCTACCTGGGGCGTGTTTACAAGCACAACAAACAAAGTGGGTACGTTTTCCCCCTGCTCTGAAATCTGGAAGCTTTGGGGTTTTTTCCCCTCCCAGGGAATCTAGTTTTTCTGTTGACACTTCATTACAGGGGAGATAGCTGCGGTGCTCAGGTCCATTGCAAGTGTTTCATGCAGCAGTTTTCAACTAAATATTTTGGGAAGGAGGCTGTGAAATGAAGTAGTCTGTGTGGTAACGAATTTAAAGGTGCTTCTTTTCTCTCCCTGTTTGAAACTCTTGTGCAAATGAGCACGTGCCTGTTGTACAGGCACCCACCACTGCTACAGCTCAGCGCCTGCCACAATACTGCTGCTATGGGGCTTGGGAAAGGCTGGTCTACCGCTCTGTCAAAGGCAGCTTCTGCTAGCCAGAAGGGAGCTAACACGGTGGGAGGAAGGCAGGGAAAGCAATCCTGCGCTACTGGGGTGTCTCAAAAGACCGTCTCTGACGGTGCCACTGTGGTCACTCAGCGTTGGAGGTGCCTGCAGTGGCCCCAGGGAATTCATCCACAAGAACCGACTGAATTGATACTTTGCTGCTCGTGAGGCTCAGAGAACACGCTAGGGTGGCAGTGAGGTCTTTGCAGCCTTAAGTCTAAACTGGGTTTCTGAAAAAGTATATGTAAACTGGGTTTCTTAAAGTCTGATATTGCTAGAGTCTGTTTGAAATGGCATTGTTAAGTTGTTTAAATGTTAATGATGCAGGTATATTTTTCAGGATTGCAGTTGAACATCCATTTTACTGTAAAGGCCATGGAAAAGAACTGTTTTTTTGAAAATGGGGAATTAGAGTTAGTTTCAGGCAGCAGTTTGTATTTAGTTTGCGTTCTTTTGATCAACTCTTTATTTACGTGTATAGAAAAGCCTCTAAAAGAAATCCTCACTGTTCAGAAGGTTTACAACCCCATTGTTGTAGAAGCTAATGGTATTGAACTTGAATGTTTTTGTCATGCAAGGCAAATGTTGAAACAAGTTAGAGGTAGGAAAAGCAAATTCTAAGATTTGCATTGTTTAAATCTAATTTTATGTGCATGTTGAAACAGGGTGAGTGAGTGTTTAGCATCTCCCCTCCACAGCTGGAGAGGGTAAAGGAAAGAGAGCAATGCTTATAAAGGACCACTAATAAAACTTTTCCTTGTACTGTCTTAATACAGCAAGTGTTTAGAAAATGGAATGTTTAGTTTTATTCCTAAGCTTAACACTTGAGAAAATGCTTCTGGGGATATTGATGAAAGTTGCAAGTTGAATGCTTGAGAAACTCACTTGATGACAGAGAATTTTTACAACTCTCAAATCAGCCAGTGCTTTGAGAACTGGCAGCTGTTTAAAGGCAACAGTTTCTAAGAACGCCTCGTTTGTGCGTGCTTTTTGTTTGTCCGGGTAGCGATGTTTCTGGATTGGGTGTTCTCTTGCAGTGCTGTTGTTAGCCTTTTAAGGATTGAATGTGGGCAGTGTGTATCCAATGGGGTTCGCTTGACAAGTAGGGGGATTATTGAGCTTAAAGATTTTTCTTTATTAATACTCTGGGTTTGATGTTTCAGGACACAAAGGCACTCGTGTGTAAGGAAGCATGATGACTTCTTGAAGTTGTCACACACGTCTATACATAAGCGAAACTCAAGTGTCTCCTCCAGAGTTACCTGCTGTAGTACTTGATTTTATTTTCCAAACAAAATGACGTTTCTAATTACATTCAAACATGCTTTTTCTTTTTAAAGGGTTTGCCTGTTGCTTTAGAAAAGCACATTCTTGGTTTTGACACAGGAGGTAAGCAGTCCTCGTAATGTTACTTTTAAATAGCGGTTTGCCTTTGACAAAGTATATTACTGTCAAATATGTAGATAATGTGTACCGTAAAAAAGTCTGTAGTGGAAAGAATTGCTCCCTCCCAGCTTGTTATTTACGAGCACTCCTGAGCATTTTGTTTTGGAACAGAAAAACATAAATCTTAGCTGTGGAATATGTTGTTGCAGAGTAATGTTTAAACAACAGCTTCTAATGGCAGCCGCGTTTGCAGGCGGTAGGAATGCATCTCGTTACTGTTGTCTTGTAAATCTTCTACCAGCAGAGGCCCTCTGTGCTGCTTCTGTCAGCTCGAGATGCGTAATTCACGTAGCGCAAGCTGGCATGACCTGATAGATTATTTTGTAAGGAACAGCCAGATGACCTGGGACTCCACTAGTCTGGCTTCACTTTTGCCCCATGTACACCTAAATTACTACTCAGAATGCTTCATCCCGACCCAGCTGTGGATTACTGCAAGGGCTGCAGGAAGCTGAACGAGGTTTTGCAGAGCACCCTGTCCCTCTCTAGCAGCAGGGGAAAGTTGTTTCCTATTTCAAGTATGAAAACCACAAGCATGACTGAAGTGCAGACCATTAATTTAGATTAAGCTTTTCTCAAGACCTTCATGTCAGATGAAAATGACTGATAAAATTTCTCTTTCTGCAACTCACCCAGATGCTGTTCTCAATGAAGCTGCCCAAATTCTCCGACTGCTGCATATAGAGGAGCTCCGAGAGCTGCAAACAAAAATTAACGAAGCCATTGTAGCAGTTCAGGCGATTATTGCTGATCCCAAGACGGACCACAGACTGGGCAAAGTCGGGAGATGAACAGATAAAGGCTTTTAGTCTCTTGTGTACTTAGTACAATTAGGATCAATGTACAACTCTGGCATGCAGTTTGAAATGGTATTATTTTACTGTTTTGAAAGAAAACAGGAAATTGAATTCTGACTTCTAAGGGATTATCTTTTTTTCTTTAAATAAATGAAGTTGAGGAAAATAGACAAATTGTTCTGATTAGCTCTGAGTTGGCAAATATGACTTTTTCTTTTTTTCATTGTGTTTGGCTTTGTGTTGAGAGGGGAGCGTTACAAAAAGGCTCTGCAGGTTCTTCTCTTGCTGAGGCCCTGCCCTATGAACAGCTCACTCCTCGCTTTGCTCGCTTGCTTCTCCGCAGTCTGCCCTACAACCGAAACAGTTAAAAACTAGGCCCAAAGGGAAACTTCAAACAACCATTTTTTATTCAGTTATTGAAGTAATGTAGAAAAAGTGAAGCATTACAATGTAAATGGTATTTTTGAACATGTATTGCTCTACACTGGGTAGGTCTATGAAGGCACTTAGAAGAACAAACAAGCATGAATTGTCAATTCTAGCATATTCTTCTAATATAAATACTAAAAGACATGCATCGAGGCAGTGGTGAAAATACAGAATTGTCTTCCGGAAAAAACTTCAATGCCTTTGCTGTTTCATGTAACTGTTCTGCACACTTTTGGAGCACGCACAGTCTCTGTCTTCAGGGCTATATGTTACTTAGACCCAGCAAGATACTGCATCCAGAGCTGCTGCAGGCACTTATTTTTGCATAAAAGGACCTGGTGGTCAGATTGTCAAAACTATGAAAAATTAATCCATTCTTCTTCCAAGAAAATAAACCATTTGAATAAGAAAGCTACACTTCAAATTTGCTTGTATAAGCAAGAGTTAGACTAATGGCCTAAGATTCACAGGACCATTTGGGGGGTTTTTGGTAATATATCAATGTTTTTCACTTTTTTAAAAAATACAGTAGTAAAGACTTGAGGTATAACTTGAAAAAATAGTCGATGATCTTTTGCAGGAACGTGGGTTGCTTCATTGGCCTTGGTTAAGGGTTTCCCCCCTTAGTTGTATGCAGTGACAGTTCTCTGGGTCTGAAGTTCTTTTGGGTGCAAAGATTGTTTCTCGAAATAGCAGTTACTATTTCCTTGCTGCAGAGAGAAATGGGTATCTTTAGTGCATCAAGCACGTACCTGCTGTCAGACAATGACAAGGGAATGGGTTTTGTTATGTTTTTACCTCCGGGGCAGTAGGGATAAACTGCAGTTATTCCATAGAGGTGTGATCGCTGCTCTGGAAGATACTCATCGGTAAAGGAGCCGGTTTCTTTATCGATAGCTATCACACCATCCCTGGTGATAAAAGGGGTAGAAGCGCTTTATTCATCTATTGAACTCGGGGGTTTTTTCCCATCTACATGTATTTAGAACAGAGGCAGCTAAAAAGATTGGTCTGAACGCCTGCAGAACGAGTGGAAAGAAATTTGCCCCATAAAAATCTACATTCAGCATATTTGGTGCATGTTGGAGAGACAGCCTTCCAAGGAGGGATTATCTCCCAGAGAGTCTCTTCCAAGCGTGGCAAGCGCTTCAGTGTTTGTTGTAATCTGCTAAGATTTGATTGAAGTTTTGAGAGCTTCCAGCTGGAGTGGGAATAGAGGCGAGTCCCTGATGCCGAGGGCCTTGGGTGGTGGGGCAGAGGGAACGGCAGGACAGAATATTTTCTTTGATTTAATCTAGATTCAGAAACTTGTGCCAAGTTTTATTAAATTAAAAAACCCAACCAAACCCAACCACTATTTCTGTCCCTCCCAGGGGAAGCTGAGGTTGTTTCTAAACAACTGTTCTGCGCTGAGATTTACAAGTGGGTGTTGCTGACCGTGGCACTGCAGGAGACCCGAGAGCGTGCTCTGGTGAGGTGCCGGGATGCGGGAGCAGCCTGGGGACAGCGTTTGGTTTTCCCCCTCTGGCTCAAAGCCCCTCCGAGCTGCTCACTAGCATGACTTGGGTATGGAGGACTTTGAATGGTGGAGGCTGGTTCCTGGCTGCTTAGGGGAACGGGGCCCTAGGAACTACTGGCTCAGCGTTCCCAGCCACAGGAGGGAGCGGCGTTTCTTTCCTTACCGTCTCCAGTCCGTGTGGTAGAAGTGGTTGGCGTAACTGATGATGCTGAAGGGGTAGTTGAGGTTGTTCTGTATGACGCGCCGGCCCGCGCCGTCTGGGAATGTGCACTCCAGGTGCTTCGTTCCTTGTCAAACACGAAGACGGTTAACAGGACACAAAAAAACGCCCACCAAACGTGTTCTTTGTATTCACTGAGTTTGGAAACAGCTTCTCAGCGTAAGGATGTAAAGCAACTCATGCTGTGAGTCCCCCGGCCCCGTCACACCAAGTCCTTTGGAAGGGAAGCAGTGGAAGGGGGCAGACAAGCCCACAGGTAGCAATGGGTTAAAGACATATATAGCTGGTTTTCCTCCCGAGGCATAGTGTGATGTACTCTGATCCATCCTTGGTGAAATTACCTGCGTCTGCCCAACAGAGCAGCTTGGAGAAGGGGTCGAACGTCAGGCCGTTGGGCAAGCCGATGTCCTTGTTCACCAGGACCCTCCTGTTGGCTCCGTTGACAGTGGAAGTTTCAATTTTGGGTGCTTCACGATTCCAGTCCGTCCAGTAAAGGTTGCTTGGGAAATAATTACATATTGAAAAAACAGGACACACAACAGTAAGGAGTGGTAGGAGCTTATCAGCTTACTCTTCATTACTGGTTCTTGTCAGGAGAGAGACCTGGTTTTCCCCTTAACAGTGCCTGAAATAACTCTTTATTTGACTTGGAAAAAAAAATCTCTAAAAGAAAACCAGAATGATGTCAAATGTGTTTACAACCCAAACTGTAGCTCCTAGATGAGGGCGAGTCTTAGGAGTAGCACATTTTGTATCGCAACGGCACCCTAGAGGCACAGCTTGTGTTTTCAAACGCCAGGCGTTTTTCAAAGCTTTTAAAAATAATGTACATCCTGACACTGAAACAGCAGGTTTAGCCAAATCTTGAATTATTAAATAAAAGAAGTGGTGGGGAACAGAGCCGATCCCTCCTACAGGGTGTGCAATGTAGGAGAGCTGCTCCCAGGGTCAGGATGGGCCCGTGGCACCATCGCTCGTGTCCGACTCTTGCACCTTTCAAACCCCTGCGTGCAAATCCCTCCAGCACTGCTGCTGCTCACCCTCGGACGGGGTCCACCGCAATGGCCCGGGGGTTGACAAGCTCCGTGTCGAAGAGCACCCGCCGCTCGGAGCCATCCAGCCGGGCTCTCTCGATCTTATCCAGGCCGCTGTCAGTCCAGAACATGGCTCGGCGGAGGTGATCCACCGCTAGCCCCTCGGGGCTGATGAGCCCTG